ATTAATTCATTTTAACTATGTTTACACTTAGCGGATATGCTAGGTACTTTAACCGGCTTTTGAGAGGTTCACTATAGTTCCAATGAGGGAGGGAAAAAGATATATCCAGCGGCATAATGTGCAGAGGTAGCCCAACTTAATTAATTCGCTACACCTAACTTAACAATTTTGCTATATCATGTTGGTATACTTTTGTCACTATATCATTGTTAGTACTCGTATACTTTCATACTGTTGGTAAGAAATATTTATAAGAACAAAATTAATTTCAAACATTTATGAATATAAATTAATACAGATCAGCTTTAACAATATATGTATTTTGTTTTTAAACCCCTCCCCCCCTTTGCATATGGTATTGCATTATTTACATAACATATTATTGTTAACATCTCTATTTACATAACATTGTATTGTTAACAGTCGTATTAATTGATAACGAAACACTCTTCGCTATTCATTTACATATATCTTAGTTTCAGATCATCTATGCGCATAAAATAATCAATTCGCATTTCCAAATAATTTAATAGTCTCAATTCTGCATTCTGTTCGATAGTTTGAAATCAAAGTGAAAACCCATTAATGTAGGAAATATGTAATATGTATAGACTCATATAAGTAACTCATGCAAAATTTGATTGCTGAACTCCAAATATTATTTGGAAAAAATTTAGTACATATGTATGTAGTATATGCTTATACATTACTCTTTCAAATGTACTATGTATGCAAATACAGGCATATTATTGTGCCCCAAAAAGCGAACAGGTGAAGTTAGTATTATGCCGGTTTTTTTATTATTTTTTTATATAATAGGTATATAATAAAAACTCAGCCTAATGCACGTAAATACATATGTATATAAGTAAGTAGATATAACTCTAAGTAATTGAAGCATAATGAACATTTGAATGTAGGCATACATATTAATGTATACATGCATACATGTATATGTATACAATGTTTTAAAACAATAAAAACAAGGCAGTAATTTGTGTAGATTGATTTAAAATAAAAAGAAAACAGGTTTTACATCTTTTTTTTTTCATTTTACAAAAAATTTTTATACCAAAAACTGTCGGTTTTAAGCCATCAAAATTCCTCAGCAAAAAATTAGGTCACGACTCACGACACGAGCATAAAAATTAACGGAGATCCATCACATCCAAACTATACATACATACTTACATACATACATATGTAAATCTTATTTTTCTTTTGAAAACTTTTACACGTGTTAAACTTAAATGATTAAGCGAAATTTTACTTGCATTTAAGAAACCTATAAGATGCAAAAATGAATAATAAAATAAACAACCTTTAAAAAGTTTTTTTTCGTTGTTAACTTTCAGAATAAATAATGGATAGGTTTTTACTCATATTTTAACAATCTTATAGTAAATTTTTTGTAAACACAACACCCCAACCCATGCACTTACATACGCATACATATGCATGTATATATGGACATATGTAGGTATGTCACGTAACATGTAGGTACGTGCGTGAGTACGTTACTTTTCTAATTTCGTAAGCCATTAACCTTACCAGATTCTAATCTGATGATGTATTTTAAGCATTGAATTCAACAGCTCCAGGTGAATCTAAATTAATTGAAAATTCAAAATTTATATATGTACATACATATGTAAATTTTAAGCTTTGGTTAGAATATTGGGTGCACACCAACTTCATATTTTTCTTAATTAATTTTACACATTAGAAATTAATCGTACGTACATATGTACATACATATGTATGTATGAATATTAAAAATAGTGTTTTTTATTAATTGCGAAAAGCACTACAATTAATATCATTATTGTCAACCAATTTTAATTTTCTGACATCTAAATACATACATACATATGTATATATGTATGTACAGTCTTACTCATTAAAATAGCACACTATTCGAAATTCCGAAAACAAGTATTTATATTGTTAATAACTTGCATGTTCTTACATGCATGTGATGTAGCTAAAATTTGTAATTTCAACCCAAAGTTAAACTTATTTTGTTGCACTTTTTTCTTATATTTGTTTTTAAGTGCACAGTTAGTCCTGTGCAATGCCATTCTTATAGGCATAACGGGATTTTTTTGGCCTGTTCCTATATATTATTTATTTTTTTTTGGCTTTCATAGGTACATATGTACATATATTAATATTATAATTAACGAAGCACTTCTGTAAATACATGTATGTATGTACATACGCATGTGGGTGTATTATATATATTTATAAATAGTTATTGTCATTTTTACTAGTAAGTCCAAAGCACAACATAAATGTACACTGAGGGTCAAAAATAATTTTTCACTTGTTCACTAAAATTTTACCTAAACAATAGTGTTTTACTAAATTTGTTATTTGTATTAACTTGCAATTCACAATCCCCGAAACTTGCTAGGATTATGACAGTTGTACGAGTAATTCAGTTCCTCTAATAGGCTTGTGACTTAAAATTCTTCTCTTTCATACATACATACATATTTAATTTTCAATACTTTTTCGCGCCCACTGTAATGTTTTTTTTATTGATTTCCCACATGCATATACATACATATGTATGTACATATGGAGGTACATATTATTTGTGTAGATATGTATTGATATGTATGTATATGTATACTTATATACATATGAATGTAAAACTAGCGCATATTTCAATAAATTTATCAATCAATTCTCATCAATACATAAAATTTTAAAAATATGATTTCATTTCCTCCTACAATCAAATTAAAAACTTCTATTCAACAAAGTGTTCAATATACTACATACATATGTATATTGAATATATTAACTTCATACAAAATCCATACTTCATAACAAAACATAATATTGACATACAGATTCCATGTATTCATATTTACATACATATTTATATGCATGCATTTAATACTAAATTAAACATATTTACGTGTGTATAAATATGTGCTTATGTTTACGTATGTATGAACGCTTTTTTCAAATTTTAACTTTTAAGAACGACAGGTAAGAACTCAAGAATATTAATTTTTCAATGCTGTTCTCAGTTTTGTTATTGCATAAGTATACATACATATGTACATGCTTGTATAAATGTATGCATGTGTGTACACAATAAACTTGTGTTCAAAAAAAAAAAACAAGATCAATTTTAAAGCAAAATATCAAAATTTTTGTCCAAAAAAGCGTTAAAAACAAAAATACACAAATACAAAATATCATAAAGTGAAATTTGTGAGATCATCATCAGCTCTAAAATCAAAGTTTAAAGAAATTTCTTCAAAATACTCAACCATATTATTATTTAATAATTATAATTTTGTTATCATTATATTCGAATTCGATGTTCTCTTCAAAATGTTATGTGAGTCATTAAAATAAAAGTAAACTTTTCATAATACGGAGAATTCAAGTTAAAATAGTTTTATGATAATTATTTCAACGTAAATGAAATTGCCAATATTTAAAGAAAATAACTTCATGAGTTCGTAAGACTATTTGAAGGTGATGTTGCCATGCTATTAATATAACTCATAATGTTTAAGAAGAGCACTCAAATTTGAATTATAAGATTAGTACGTCATCATTATTATTTAGAACAAAATTATTTAGAACATAATTTCCATAAAAAAACAGGGTTCCCTTTCCAAAATTTTCCGAAAAGCTTTTTTTTTTTAACTATTTTCGAAAGGATCTCAAACTAAAACTAGTAGTGAAAATTAATATTCCTAGATGAGAATTTAGTTGAACTAGATTAACTTGAATAAATTAAATTAAGAAATACGTATTGAGTTAAAAACTTAAAAAAAACTTATTTTAAGTTTTAATTTTAATATTCGCAAAATTTTGATCATCAACTTAATTTAATAATAGCACTTTTGTGTTTAAAAACTTAAGTAAAAGTAATTAAATATGTAAAAAGTAATTAAAATTCCAACAGTATTAATAAATAATTTACGAAAACTGGTTAGAAATACTTTAATTTTTAGATAACTTAAAAAAAATCATTTAAATTCAATCTTTTTAAATCGTTTTAAGCATAAATTTTCAAAATATTTTGTTAAATTATTAGACAGTCCGTTCACAATAAAAATTTGAATATATTACAAAGCAAATTTCGGAATTAATATTAAAGCTGTAAATTTTAATTTTTGAATAATTAAAATCTTAATCATTATTAGAAGAAATTATAAATATTGTATACAATTTAAAATTAAATTTGGAAAATATTATTTGATTTCAATTAAGATACTATTGGGATATTAAGTAGAGAATACATAAAAATTTAGTAATTTTTTAATAAGATAAATGCAATTATTGGAACTCTCTATTTAATTTTTAGAAATTACCAATTTAACATTGGGGCTTATTCGGAGCCACGAATCACTAAATGATAGTGATATTTTGTCTTAAAAGTTCCAAAAATTTTATTAATCATGAAGACATAAATCATTAGTATGAAATGGTTTTGTATGTATAATTATAATATTGAACCTTTTAGGATATAACTATCACTATAACGATATTCAGAATAAACCACATTGTTCATGTACATTTAGGTGTGTCTACAAATTTTAATCAAAGAAGCTATCGAAATATTCAAAATTAAATTAACTGAGGCAATCTTAATAATGAAAAATAAAAATAACTGTAAATTTATACATACGTACATACAATAAAATACAATGCAATAAATAGTTATTAGTTACAGTATTGTAACAGAACAGTATAAGCTTGCAATGAAAAATATAACCGCTAATCAACTTGCTTAATACAATTATGACTCGATTTTCATTCCATATTGACTTTATTATTTAGTCATAGGGAAAAAAAATTTTTTTCTCTTCTGTTTGTTGTTTTGTTTTTATTTACTTATTTTTTTTCTCCTTTTTTTTTATTTTCATGTTTTTTTTTCTTTTGTGTTTGTTGTTTTCTGTGCTTTTAAGTTTTTCGCCTTCATTTGAAATATAATTTAGATTCTAGCCAGCCAGAAGCAGCCGCCAAACAGTGATGGTAACAACAAACGAATAAAATATTGTTTATTTTCATATTTTTAGTGCGTTCAGTTACTTCGAGTTGTTTGGATGGAATTGTACCGGTTAAAAATTAAATAAAAAATTTAATGTTAAAAAGAAATAATAAAAATTTTTGAAGGAAAAAAAAATACCAAAAAATAAAATTAGGTGAATAGTTAAAAAATAGTTTTTTGTGATTTTTATTATCTAAAATAAAATTAATGATACCTGGTCAATTAAAATTCCACGATTTTTTTTATTTTTATATTTAAATTTAATCTGTTAAATCTACAAAAAATGTATATAAAGTGTTCTCATATAAATATTTATGTATTTACGTACATGTGTGTGTATGTATAACAATTTATATTAAAAAAATATTGTCACGTGAATAATAAAATAGAAAATATTTCTTAAGAAAATATTTGGAATTGTGTTTTGCTCGTTCAATTCACTTGTACAAATTCATTTACTAAAAAGTAAATTTAGTTTTGTCTCATAACCTATTTGTTTTTTTAGTAGACTGTTAATGTTAAAATTTTTAATATAAATTTTTTATATTAAAAATTTTAAACATAAAATTTTTTACACAAGATTATTTTATTCCCTCACTTTTTTCCCAACGTTTTTTTATAGAATTCGTTTCACAATAAAAAAAAACTGGGAACCCAAATTTGATTTTGTGGTTTTTCAACTGAAGCATTTTTTTTTGTTAAAAATTCTAAATTTTATTTGTATTATATACACATACATATTATATAGAAATTAATTATGCATGTACATACATACCTACATATTGGGTATTTTTCTTTAAATTGTTAGACACTATTTTAACCTTTATAAGTACTTAATTGTCCCAGTTATAAATGTCAAATTGTCAACTCTTGCAGCATTCCACTCTTAAAACATTTTATCATAGTTAATTCTAATTATTAGTTAACTATATAATTACTATAAGTATATAACTATGTATATTAAATTATATCAAAGTGTTTGTGTTAAAAAATACATACGAACAAACAGAGGTAAAGAAAATTAATTGTCTGTAATGCACACACAAATTACATACACGTACATTCTTAATCTAATGAATACGTAAATATATCAAATATTCTTATATTTTTCAAATTCAACAAAATATTGGTACATGTGGAATAAATTAATAAATATGTGATTAAAAATTAAAAAAAAAAAATTTAATTTAATCTGTGCTGACCGCAATAAATTTCATAAATTATTTTTAATTATTTTTCATTAATATTATACCTACAAATACAGAAATATAATTTCTTATTATTAAAACAACATTTTACAAAATATTAAATTTTAATAATAAACGAATAATTTATTAATTAAAATAATTTTTAGGAAATTTATTTCATTATATAAAATTGGATCAGATGTGTATTGAATCATTTTTAGCAAGTTTATTCTTAAAAAATCAGCTGTACTAATAAAAGCATTTTATACTGTATAAGTACTAAAATTATTATACTATATTAAAAGTGTGTAAATATAAGTACGGAAAATACCTACGTATATAAATTCCTATAGTAAATATAAATAAAAATAGGTAAGTAAGCGAATTAAATATAAAAATTCTTAAATAATAATTTAAAAACAACTTACTAAAATCAATTAATTTATTAAGTATAAATTAAAAAAACTATTCATGAATGTATTTCATTTTCGTTTTCATTAGAAAAATTGTAAATTATAGCAAATTGAGTTAGTTTTGAATATTTATTAAAAATACCTGCCTACCTACTTCTCTAACAATTTTAGATATTTAGTCATTCAAAATAATAAGTTGTTAATTATAGCGAGTTAGCTATATTGTAACACTTGTTTGGAAAATTTGCGTTTAAAGAATATAATCTATAGTATACAATGTTAAAAACTGGTTCACTTGAATATTTCTTTGTAGGTAGGTACCTATATGATTAAAACTTCCAAAAGTGAAGCTCTAATATTTAAAGTATGTACATATATTTCTTAGGAACTTCAATAAAAATATAATATATATATTTATTTATATATTTATTTATAAATTCAGATTTACTCAAGGATCTAAATAATATACTCTTTAAATTTAATATTAACACTTAATTATACCAAGTTCTAATAGACACATATCTAACAATTATACATATTCTTAGAACTCGCATATATATATTTAAGTATACCCGCTTAAATAATTAAAGCAAACTAATTAGAACGAAAATATTGTAAATGTTTATTTGTACAAAAATGGAAGAAAGAGTAGGTCGAATAGTTTACATTAATTTCAATTATAATTTAACATTAAATTAAATGTTATATCGGAAATAATTACCAAAAAAGCAAAAACAAATTACCAGTTGCTCATTTTCACAAATAGATTTCTTATTAAAATTATAAATTATTGAATTATATAAAATGTAAATTATGTATATGTGCATATAGTATAAATCTATGTCTGTATCTATATTTGCAATCATATACATATGTGCAACCATATGCATTTTTACAATAAATATGTTTTAATATAATTTTACAATTTATGAATAAAATGACGGCATGTTTGAGAATTCAAACCATTCATAATAAAAACAAATTTTTATTATGAAAATTATAATTAACATTTATGTGATTTTGGCGGATTACCTTACAATAACAACATACTTATTTATTTGATTTGTCATCAAAAAATTTATTTTTCACTTACTAAGTTAGGTATATGGCAGATTTAGAAGACCATCCGCTGATGGAGTGATTTAAGTTTTTCAAATTTTAATAATATCGTAAAATTAAGAAAGTTAAACCAGAATTTAAGTATAGAAAAGCTTACTCTAGAAATAGAAATGATTCACTTATTTAGATTTCGTATATAAGTTTGTACGTTACGTGCTAACAAATTTATTGTTTAAACTTAAAATATCGCGAAAATAATATCACGTGCAAATACAAATTTCGCTCTAATCCACACTTATATTTCAAATTTCTTATTCATATTCAAGTGTATTGTTTGATGTTCACCTTACTTATATAATATAATATATATGCACATGTACATGCATATGTATGTATACTTATGCATATATATATTTACATATGGATCTGTACATACTTTAAATTATCTTTATTAAATTTTGAAAGTATAGATTTTCAATTTAATTTTTTTGCTTATCATTTGATTATTTATATATGTATGTATTTAGATATCTTTTTATAATCTTTTATTAAGTTTCGCATGAGTACATTTGCACTCAATTATTATTATTATACGTAGTGTTTTTAAATGTAAATGCACTCAAGTATATATAAGTATAACGTTTATAATACATATAGTTATACACTTATATTCTTTTATATAAGTAAGTAAAAGAATATTATTTTTTATGATAGTATGACGTCAATTATATTCTTAAATTGACTGTTAAAAGTAGGCCTTTATTTTTACTCTACTTAAATTTTTAGTATTTTTAGTATTTAAATTCTATAAAATAAATTTTTAATTTTTATTACACCTGAGTTAAGATTCTCGAATAATAAAGATTAAAATTGCTGGTGCTCTGATATTTGTGAAGATTTAGTATAGAAAAATAGTCTTAAATATTACAGTTATAGTTATGGCGTTGATAAATCAGGCAATAATTAAAACTAATCATAAGCTTAATTTTTTACAGTAACTGTACAATAAATGTACTGAAATTTCGATTTCAGGGAAATTACCGTGCACATTTTAGATCAAAATATAACTGATGAATTATCATTCAACTTAACTGTATGTACATATATCTACTTAACAATCTAGATATAAAATGTGGTCTAAAATAGTTTAACTGAGCTGCATGATTAACTCTTGGATTAACTTGACTGGTTTTATCAATTTCTCAAAAGGTATTTTTTGAATGAATTTTTTTATTTCAAGCTGATTAATTTCTTATTGAATCGTGATTTTTTTTTATACTTATTTTAGTTATTTACTTATATTTCTTGAAATGAATATCAAACTAGTAGTATTGTACACAAAATGTGGGTCATTTTCATTGCAATAAAAAAAGTAATTTCTAGTTGAATATATTAAGAAAATTTTAATTTTAAAATATATTAAAAACTGTGGCACATAAAATTACCCACATTTTTTAGAAGAAATTAAAAAAAACCGTATTGGAAAGCTTTAAATTCATACATACACATTAAGTACAAAATTATCGTACAAAAATCATATATGAATACTAAATAAGTAATCGCATTGAATTAAATTAATCAGAATGAGAAGATAGTGAGGAATTTTTTTGCATGTCCTTAAACGTAATGCACGTGTAAAATAAATAACACTGGAGTTTATGTACCTATTTTAATAAAATATTCAATGACCCTGAATTATAAAATCAATTATTATTAATATAATAGATAAAATGTAGCCAATACCAATATAACACTCGTTTGTATATATATACATGTACATTCTTAATACGTATATAAAATATGTATATTAATTTTATTTTTTGTATAAGAAAAACTCATATCAGTAAAATTAAATTATATAGGTATTTTAGTATTTACTCAAACTTTGTAAATATACGACAGTTCTAAACATATTTTATTAAATTTTTCTACGTCAGGGGTTCCGCACATTTATTTACAGTATTTAGTTTACATTAAACTTGCGGTTTAAATATTTTATCACTTTTTCCGGTTCCTTTGTTTTGTTAATTAAAACAAAAATTATCCATGATAAAATAAACAAAAAATATAAAACATTTAAGTAAAACTGAACAAAATCAACTATAAATAATACGAGAAATAAGAAGAAAAATATGCTACGTACACGAATTATATAAATATAAAGTAAGCAAAATTTGTACTCACTTTGATTATGTATCTTGTACAAAGTTGGTTCTTTTTCACTAACACGGTCAAAATTAAAAAGAATTAAAAAATAATAAAAAAAAATTAATATGTAAATTAATAAAAAATAATTTTAAATAATTAAGTGCGGCCCCTCGATAAACATTTTTGGCGGCCCACTACGGTCTAGGAATCATTGATATACACAACTGTGCATAAAATACATTTAATATTATTTGATAAGGTTCTTGATTTACTTTTAAAAACTAACCGAAATGACAAAATTATAGTGAATAGAAAAAAAAAGTAAAGTTTCATATTGTTGACATTTCAATCAATCAAATGTATGTACAATAGTTATAATGTATACGTACATATATATATTACTTTTACATACCTTTATAAGGTATTTTCCCTTATTATACATATACTGTTCATAAATTATGTATTTTCCTTAACATAAGAATACATACATAGATAATTTCATATTATTATATTAATTTTATGTGTATAATGTACTATTTATATTAATATTGAGCTTTTAGAATGCCCTCATAAAAATACTTGATTATTTATGTGTCAAAATATTAAAAAGCATTACAAAAAATGAATTTTCAAACTTTGCATTACTAATACTATCAATATAATAGTTAATTACAGCAGATATTCTGGTCAATATAATTATTACTTAAGTATTAAATTCAAAATTAAATATTTATTTGAGTACTTAGTTTATACTTCAATTATAAAATAAATATATTGAAGTTTTCTTCTTTTATTTTCAGTAAGTAAACAATGCTTTTGAGTTTTCTACTTTGAAATCAGACACTAATTATATTGTATTAATATTAAAATTAGGCAGTTATTCAGAAAGTGATCTAAAACTTTTAGTATAATAAGTATGTATTCTAAATCAAATTACTTTAAGCACTTAAGTTTTAGCCATATGAAAAAGCTGATATTTATTTAAATTGTAATTTAATAACTTAGAAATTTTTAGAATTTTGCTGATTCAAATTAAAAAATTTTTGGCCATTTATTTGCGTATATACGAGTATTTTATGTATATACATGGTTTGATCAAATTTTTATTTAAAATTTCAATTATAAGTAGCTAGATTGTTATTTGAAATTTAAAAATATTTCTTATTGAGTGTTACTGAGGAATTAAATATTAAAAATCTTAAATATAATTTATTTGTAGACATAATTAGATGGTCTTTAATACTTAAAGTGTAACATAATGCAAACTTTATTTAAATATATAATGTACGTGTATACGTATGCTTAAGTTAACACTGTGTGTATTTAAATTAAAGGTTATTATTATTTTGAAAAGCTTAAGAACTAAGAGTGAACGACATAAAATTTTGGTTTTGTTGAAAAAATTGAATGTTTTTTAAAAATTATGTCATAAATAAAGTATAATCTGTGACAATAATAAGTTTAAAAGGTTTTTGTAATCTTTTTTTAAAAGTCTATATGAATATATGTACATATGTCTCGTTTAATTATATATGTATACCTTTCCAGCAATATTATTATTTAGATTATGAACAGTATGTATATTGGTAAAATGATCGGCATAATTAAAATATGTGTGAACATTTATGAAAAAAATATTATAATATTTATAACAATTAAACACTAGCAAGTACAAGAAATCGAAATTCCATTCAATTCCATTCAGGGCGAATTCGGCAAAATGTTTCTTGCCTAAACGGCAAGTTTTAAAGC